ATTCTGATATATCTTCAGTAATACTAATCACTAATACACTGAGATTCAAATACAGCATTTCAGTCACTGATTTTTGTTATAATTTCTTTATTTTTAAAAGATTTAATTATGGCAAGATTTCATCTTCATGATTCAGGCCAGCCATCCATAGCATTTTATTCATATGCATGGGTGATTATGAATTGTCATCCATAAGGAAACAAGCAACACAACAGCTTTTCAAAATGATGTTTAATTTCCTGTATTTCTGACATTTTTACATCAGATACCTATCAGATACTGAAAAACAAAATGCAAAATCAATGGTTCTCAATACCAAATTAATCTCACATTTAGAATTCAAAAGCTTTTTGATAAATTACTAAATTCATACGTTATCTTTCTCAAGCATTCAACAACAGCGTGTTGCTGTGCAATCCATTCTTAAAGTGGATTTTGATGCCCTGCCCAGGTTACCTCAATCTCTTTATGGTCTCAGTGCTGCAGATGTGGAATGCAGATGCATTCTAATGGGAATAGCATATAATTGGCATCACAACTGAAGAGGTCAGAAAACACTAGCCTTAGTTTTATTCCAGTTTAGATGGCAAACAGGAATTAAAATCACTGATACAGCTTCCTCTACCAGAACAAATTGGTTGGTCACTCCTGTCAACGGTAAGAGGGAGTTTGCATGACAGACACTGAAAAAACAGTTTGTCTGTTAAACGATATGATCTTGAATATTACTTGCCAGGTTTTGGATCAAATTCTATCCACCATACTCTGATTTCATTTTAACCCTATTTTCATTGATCTGTGCAGTTGCTATTTCAGAATAATGTTAAAAAGGAGTTACATATGGGCTGAACAGCAGAAGCTCTCTGTAAGATTTCTATTTAAAAACTCACACAAGCCTTAAAAAAAAAAAAAAAAAAATTATATATATATATATAAAAACTAAATATATATATATATATATATATATATATATACACACACATCAAGATTGGTACCAAGGGGGTTATACCTTAGTCCTTATTTACATTCTCACAAAAATTCTTGGGAAAAATAAAAGGAATATATGCAGATGGAAATAAATGCTTCCAGATATTTGCCATTCCTTTCAGCTCTATATAGGAAACGTGATAGTTTGGGAGGATTTCCCAGATGTTGAATGACAATGTGTAATATCATACAATAATAATTCATATTATTACTTTCTGTGGAGATGAAGAACTAATTTAATATCTGGACTTTGAACACAAAGTTGTTCATAATACTTCCAAATTTTAATGCATATTTATCTAAACTGAAATGTACTAATTTTATAGGGATATGAGTAGCAGCTTCAAGCTGTACTTCAAAATCCTGTTAAACCACAACATAAAACTATGCCTATATTTGAAAAAACAAATGTATATAGCAGGTATCTGCATTCTGTCTTCACTTTTAGATTCTCAAATAATCTGTGTGGTAAGAGTTGGACAACTATGAAGGAAAAGAAAATTTACAGAGCAGTTTGGGAATAATAAAGCAATAACACTTTATATCCTCCTATTTCATAATAAAAGATTATTTTGCCCTCCAAATAGTACTGGCAAATCCCATATTTTTATTGGTGCTAGCTGTAATTTGGACAAATCAAGGGATTCTATTTAGTGAAAACTCTGTTGGGATCTATCATGTCTGCTGCCAAATTATATTTCCTTGTCATTAAAACATAATCTTGGTGTTTTATTATTGGATATCTTCAGCTTACGTTAGAAAATTAAATTTGGACTGGTACTTTGCATTCCACTCATAGTGCTAACTGAGATTTCACCATCACACAAATCATCATCTTTAAGGATAACTTTGAAGAAAATCAGTTCTCTCTCTTTCTTTTTTTTTTTTTTTTTAAACTACCTTATTAGGAATGTAGAAATAGCAGAATAAGCTACAGTCTTAAAGTCAGATGCTACATTAATAAAATATGTATACTTTAGTGACAAGTTCTTTTTATCCTCAGGGAAAAGGACTACAATGTGACTCTTCTTGAAGACCTCAAAGCTGATACATGTGCAAGACAAAGCTGGAGTAAACACTTAGGTGCATGAGCTCATTATAAGCAAATTTAGTTAAGGAAACCATTTGTTTTTTTTCTGATAATAAATGCAAAAATAACTATGCCAAGGTTTTCCAAGTGAATATTATCAGAATCCATTAAAACTCTCAGCGTAGAACCCACAGTCAAGATTGGATGCATATAGCACTAGTGTTATTTAAACAGAGGCATCCGCATTTGATGGACACCAAAGGCTTTGGAACGACATGGAAGTGACTGCAAATGCATTCACTCAAGCTCTAAGTATGCAGATGCAGATATTTTTACTTCAGGTGAGCTATGCTGTTCTCAATCACCTATTTTTTTTAATCTCCCTATAAGCTGGCTGTGATTGAATGCATGAGGCCCCCTAGGCAAAGACATCACTTTTGAGTTGCAGAAGTACTTATCAAAATTGTCCGTATTAAGGTTCTGTCCATGGTATAACAATTTTCTTGAGGAAAAGAGTGTAGCTGAATATTCAGCTGATTTTATTAAATCAGTTCTCCTAGGCCATGCTCACATCCTTTGGGGTGTTTGATTTTCATGAACATTTGAGTGACTAACTTATTGGCATGCACATTTGTGCAAAGTTAATTTCAAAGTACGATGAACCAGTATTTGCAGAAGGAAAGTAAAATCCACACACAGAAGTGTTTGTGCTAAAGGGCTTACTGCTGTGGGATTTATCTGATTTACCACGAAATCCCAACCTCCAGCAGTCAATATCAACCAAACTGCACATGATCTTCGGAGTTCAAAATTATTTCAATAACTTGATTTTTTTTTAAATAATTCACATTTGTTTTGAAAAAAACCTGCTCACAAACAAGGATCATAAAAAGAGACCAAGCTTTAAAAATGAATATATCAACTACTTAAACCAGCAATTTTCAGCAATCATTATTTTAGTAGATATTTTTAATGGATAAATATATTTGTAGAATATTGGACAGGGTATTTAGTTTGTTTATACTTTCATGGGAGTAATATAAACCTAATGTTACTGTCAATGCCAGCTTTGCATGCATTTTAATATTCCTTTCTTTTCCTACCATCTCTCTTAAGAACAGTTTCATATTTTCCCTTTGGAAGTTTGAAATAACAGGTCATAGCTGTGGAAAATATAGTTTCATTTGAATTATTGAGTAAATAATTGCTTCTCCAGTTCATTAAACTTAGTAAGAAAATCCAAATTCATGTATATTTTTCTCAACTTTCATGTATATATTCCAGTTCTGCTGCTCGTTTATTTTCAATATGAAAAATTAGTTAAAGTATTAATCTATGCTGTCAACATCTAAGGGAACTAATGATAGCTTCACATGAAATTCATTGTATAATACTGTAATCACACTTTGAAGAACCTCTCATAAAATTGCATTGAGCTGAAGACAGAGCCTCAATAGGGCTGAGCTGTAGTTGTTAAACTATACTGAAAAAAGATCTGTGCTTATGTTTTAGCATTTATTTCTGCTTCAGAAATATATTTGGATTCCACCAGCTGTAGTTGTCAAGAAACACGCAAATTAAAAAAAAAACAAAAAACAACAAACAAAAACAACAACAACAAAAAAAACCCAACAACTTAGAGAACTCAAAGTTTTAGTAAGGTTTTCTATTGAAAATGCTTCTACTTTGCTTATCACTGCAGGATTTGTAGGAAAAGAAAAAAATATAATAAGTTCTGCTGCCTTGCTTTTCTGTGATCAATGGAAGAGCTGAGTTCAGAAGATGAGTATCACCTGCTGGGGTGGAGAGGCTCATTTAAAGTTTTTAGAAAGATAATAAAACATTCACATAAGAAATGAACTTTGGTGCATTGTTTGGAATGGAATAATCACAACAAATATTAAAGTTATTGCTCATGTGTAAGGGCATGTTGTTACATTTACTACTGAAAATGAGAACCTGGAAAAGGTCAGAAAAAGAACTAGACTCTTCTTTCTTCAAAATCTACATGGAATGAAGGAGAAGGGAGAGCACTGTATTTGGTTTCTCCTGAATCAAGGTGGCTTTAAAAAAAAATAGAGAATTGGAAAGTAACCTGGACAGCTTGTTAGAAGAATGTTTCAAGCATTCCTGTGCTTCTCTAAAATGTTGCACTCACGCACAGCAAGTGCCTCAGAAAGCAGCACGTCAGTGGGATTATTGGGTAGGCAGAAACCTCGCCTGGGGAGAATTGTACCCTTTTTTATTCTTTTGAGAATATGATGTGGTGCAGGGCTTTCAAAAAAAAAAAAAAAAAAAAAAAAAAAAAAAGGGCTTGAAGAAAGAAGAGATGCTAACCTGCAAAAATGTGAAAGAAAATAAAGGCGCTCTGGGAGCCAGCACAGAAAGCAGAATGAATGAAGGATTTCTTACTCATACGCACGAACAGAGCTACATTTCACATTTCACTTCCTTCACACATGGAATGTACCACTTCTTTTTATGGTCCTACTTAACAGGCAGATAGTCTCCTGGGAATCCTCCCTCTGGGAATATAGCTTGTAAGGGACATTATAAGTTTTCAGACCTTTACACTTCCCTAGGTCAGGGTCTCACATCACAGTTACCAAACCTTTAGTAAAGGACTGCAGGCTGTCATTCAGAGCTAGCTAATGCCATACCATCCAGTCAACACTGAGTAGAAACAAATGTTTTATTTGCAGGCCTAAAACAGACATCGTGACAAAGCCTAAAAGACTGCTCCCAATTTAGTACATATTACAAATACTTGTGATGTTTGAAATCTGACTTTCTCTGAGTATTAGTTTGCCCACATCAATGTATGATAAATCAAAAATATTACTTGCAATAGCTCTCTACGCTTCAGGTCAAATGGTTCATTACAGCAGTAGATGGGGAAAGGGAGTTGGAGGGAGATGGATAATTAGCTTTTCTCTCCTCTTATTCTGTCCTCACAATTTATATCTTTTTCTTCCTTGGATCCTCCCCTGTTCCTCTCCCCAGCAGACAGCCTCACCATGCAACCTCTCCTGACATGGCACGGAGAAAAAGCTCCAGGATTTAACGTGTACACGCCAGACAGATGCTCATAAAAGTTAAACAGCATTTGTTGTATCAAAAAAATCCTTTGGAAAAGAAAACAAATTTGGATTAAACATCAGATTGTGTTATTTTCAAATTTGTGAAAAGGAAAAGAAGTAATTTAAGATGAGCTTACATTGTATACAAAATGTTCTGCCTTTTGACACTGGAAGAAAACTCTTGCCCTAAACCACTGACTTTGGCCTCACAGGTTAATTAATCCATTGTTGTTGTGTGTACACTTGAGCAAGCATTAGTTGGAGCTGCTAGTTACCTTTCCAGGTAGGTATGTGTCAAAAAGTGGTATTCTATGCTCTTTTTCCATTCCAAGTGTCCATACAAATGCTAGAAGGACTGGGACAGTGAAACAACTAACAGATTATATTTATATAGCACAGGTAAGTAAACTTACCTCAAACACACACATCTTCTCCAAAAGAAAACCACATTTGCAGGTACCAGAATTGCAAGTTAGGATTTGAACCTAGAAGTTAGACACAAACAATTTAAACCTTCAGATTTATTTTATTTTATTTTTTAAACACAGTAACTGGAACTCCTAATGAGCAGAGTTTTTGATTACTTATGACCCTTCCTGGGAATCTCCGGGTTGGGAGGACAGAAAATGATACTTGGTGAAAATTCTGAGATAGTGAATGTTGTATAAAGCCACAGTTGATATTTATTGACATAATGTTTGGAAGCTTTGCAAAGTTTAGGTCATACCTGGCCCTTGAGCCCATGGCAACATCAATGGATGTTCCACAAAGATTCCTGCTTTTAGCAGTGTCATTCTTTATCTTTATCCTTTATCTAGCAAACATCAAAATCTGAGCACAAAAGACAGAAAATGAGCTATTGATTTTTCAGTATTGTCTTAACCTGCGGCTTAATTGAAGGTCAGTATATGTATTCCTGTCAAAGACAGACTTTTGCTATTCATTGTCATTATCTGACACAAAACTCTCCTCAAGAAGAGCACAGATACTTTTCAGACAGTGAATAGAAGAACACACAACCCAACACCTTCAAACTAAGGAACACTGCCAAATGGAGAAGAAAAAGAGCAGAATGATTGGATTAGATGTCAAAAGCTACAAAGAAGCTGGAGCAAGGGGAGGGAGGGAAAAAGAATGCGAGGAAGAGACAGAAAGAAAGGGAGAGAAAGACAGATGAATGTCTATTTGCCATCAAAAGACAACAAATAAATTGTCTCAAGAGAAAGTGGATGGCTGCCTTTTTCCTTCTGTGTTGTTCACTCTCTCACTAAAGGACGTACAACCGCGAATACTTCCTAACACGGTAATAAGCAGCTTTTGTGAATAAAAGGAGCTTGTTTTATTAGAAGACAAATGTAGTATGACAGTAAAACAGAAGTTGGCAGATAATAGATGGGAAAGAAAATCCACATCTTTCTCTTATTTCCTGTTATTGCTCTTGCTTAGCTAATCCTCCACCATCATCTGCTCATGAAGGATCAGATTTTGTCACTTCAGATCTGTCATTTAAGAGGGAAGAAGTATAGATTATTTTAAAATAAATATAATAAAGTAGATTTTCATTTATGAAGATTGTACTTCTGTCATTAACCTACTTTAGGTCACTTTCCTCCTCAGCATTAAATTAATTCATTTTTTTCCCCTGGATAAGTCAGTCGACATCATTGTATACTCCTGCTTCCTGTCTAATGGCTAAAGAACTGTATAGATGAGCGAAGGAGAAAGATTCATACCTGTTTAGTCTCACATGGCAGTAACACTCCTAAGATGGTGATAGTCGACCTAAAATGTTTTGGTAAATCAGACATTCAAGAAAAAGTAAAGTAAAGTAAAATCTTTCCTTTCTGTGAATATCAGACTTTTTGAGTGAAATTTAATCTGTTGTGACTGCATGACCACAAGTATACAGAGTGAACTAAACGTCAAGTCATTTCTATTTAATTCAAAATAATTTTGCATTTGGAGGAGCATTATACCAGGAGTTGAAGCCAGGTGATTTTTAAGGTCCCACCTGCCCAAACCATTCTCCAATATAACCACATTTTAAACATGGATTACTCGGAGACGGATGAATAACAATAGTTAACTGTCACTTGCTCCAGAATGTGTACAGACAAGAGCATACAATGCTGATAACTTGGTTCATATTTGAACTATAAAACTTTTTGTATTAGTGTTTAAAAAATATTAAGTTGAAATACACAGATTGCATGGTAGACGTTTAACATCTCAAAATCTTAGTTCTCCAAAATTGTTTACCCAGAAATCTGAAGTATGAGAGGAACAAAAACAATTTATAATTCCTAAAAGGTTCTAAATATTTTCAGATGGCAGTTCATTACAGCTATACAGATACAAAATAAAAGCAGGTGTTTCATTCAGCAAACAAGATTTTTTCCTGTATCTTGATATTTTATTAGTCTCACATTTCATTTAACCTCCAACTATGTCTCCTGGCTCACCACTTTGCTTTGGATGATACTGCATAACTTTCAAAATTCATATTCATTGGTCATCACAGATTCTGATATCAAATCCCTGTTAACATTTATGAGAGCAAGCATAAGTTTTCAAGTACTTATTAACTAACAAATCTGTTTCTTATTTTAGAAAATTTATGGACTGGCATTTCATCAGAAGGGCTCCAAGTGTGCAGATTTGTATCCAAACCAGTCAGAGCTAGATCCACGATACGCATCTACATTCTGGGGCTTCTAGCACAATCTTGAGCTCATATTACAGTCACAAAGCATGCACAATGATGTGGAACAGCACAAAAGCTGCAGTAGCAGGTGTATGAGATTGGAGGATTATGCTTAAACTTGTGAGTTAGCTCTGGTGAGCATGCTAAATAACTGTTACTATAACCTTTTGTATGACATCTTTGTGTACAGTGCACATTTTAACAATACAAAAAAATATTCTGAAATATATTTTGACTGTTTGAAGTATATGAACTGTCCTAATATTCTGCATCTACACAGAGAAGAGAAAGTTACCATAGGTTGACAGACAAATAGAGAGGATAAAAAACTTATAAGAGATCTTCTTAATGGAGAGCTAAAAGAAATTCAGCTACATGTAAATAACCAAAGAGAGTAAGTTTCCACTTCTATAACTCACAAGATCAGATAGAACAGTGGGATGTAACTAAGGAAAATTAGAATACTATTCTAAGACACAAAGCACTTCTAAGTACAAAAATGGGAACATTAATACCACTGCAAAGAACAGTGAAATGAAGTTGGTTTTGGATCAAGGAGATCAGGAAAGCACTCTGACAAATGAGGAAGGATTAGAAGTTCTTGACTTGTTTATGCCAGAAAAATAAAAGCTTCACAGACAGAGCTGCTTTCTCTAAATTCAGGAGGGTGACAGATTCCAGAGAAGAAAATACAAGCAGTATTAGCATGTTGGAAAGAAGAGAGAGAGGATATAAACCAGCAATAAGAAAGACATTTTAGACATTACAAGATTCCCAAGCAGTAAGATAGGCAGTTCCTCAGGAACTCAGACTACTATGAATCTCTTCACTCACAACATTTCCATTATCTCCAAACTGACATATTTTTTCTACCACAGTGGCTAGTCATTTTCATTCCTGTTTGATAATCTTCATATGTCTTTCACACTGTACACAGTGTGAAAAAAAGAAAATGCAATCAGAGTTTTCAGTTCTTATTTTGTATGTTACCCCACACAGTACCTCTATTGCTTTAGGAATTATCCATTTATTCCTTCATTACTTCAGTATCTGAGTTCTACTCAAACTGTTTTAAATATGGTGGTCCAAATCTTGCTGCCATGGAGGTGAAAAAAACTACTCCACAAGACACATAAATTTTGGCTCTGATTTTTTCTTTCCACCCCATCTTTGCTGTTGTTTTTCATATAAGGTAGTTACCCATACTGGATAGGAAATTCTAGCCTGCTTCTTCATGCTTCCTCATTCCAGAAAAGGGGAAGGCTTCTCTGACTTTTAGCTTGGTTTACCTTACTTTAAACTATTCAGTACTTAAAGAAGCATTTCTTAGCGGAAAAAAAAATTGCAGACCATTCCAGTCTATGCATTTTGGATCTATTATAATACATACAGCACTACAGTGAGATTCTGTTTACAAGCTTAAGTTACATATAAGATTTCCTATACTTTCTTTTGAGGCTCACAACTCCTTTACAGTACATTATGATGGTAGGATTAATTCATAATGTGTATTTGTCTGAATTATTATAATTACCACTCTTCTTCTGCTGTCATGAGAGGTCTCTTGCCTCCTTCTTTTATTATATGATACAAACTAAGGACTGAATACCTCAAACCAATTACTCAATTATTTAATTCAGAATAACTAGATCACATATTTTTAAAAACCACTGAAGAACACAGAGAACTGACCTATAAATTAGGACAAGTTTAAAGACATATCTGAAATATAGAAAACAAGCTGTTTACTATGATCAGAACTTTAAAATATAAACGGACATATTTTACATCTGAGCCTCAAATAGATATTCAAACTCAGAACTAAACAATGACATCCACACTAGAATCCAATCAGCAGCTGAGGAAGAATCAAAGAACCAACTTGACTTTTTTTCCTACCAAAGTGATTTCATGATCGCTCTGTCCCTGCATTATAAAAATTCTGTTGATATGTTATGCCTACATGGTGGGAGTTGTTTTGTGGTTTTTTTTTTTTACCATTTTAATTACTAGGAAGTTGCATTTGACTTCCCACAAGGAAAAGGACTTGTAACTGAGCCAGCCATGTATGAGTGATCCTACAAAGACAGCACAAGCTATACATCTATATTGTGATGAAAAGCCCAAAAAATGATGGGGAATGCATTGAACTTAGAAGTTCCAAATTCCGCATACACCTACATACTCATACACTTATTCATGTTGGTTTAATGACTGTTATCTGGGCTTAAGGGATAAAACTGGGCATTAGTAGTTATAAAAGGAAAAAAAAAATGCATATCTTTTTACTTCAAAAGAGAAAAATCAGACAATTCAGATTTTGTCTTCAATCACACACAAAACACTTTGGACTTTCTGTCATCCAGTAACCTCCTCTACCGTCTCCCAGCCTCTTCCACCTACACCCAAACTCTCCTGCCACACACAAACAGGACAGGAAATACTGCTGTGATACTTCAGCTGTCAATGTTTTTAACTCTTCCTAAGAAGTGATGGTGTGTTTGCTAACTCCTTTCTTTTCTGCTCTGTTTATTTTAAGTCTGAGTCAAATGAGTATCACCTATTTCACATTATTCAAAGGTACTTTACTATTTTAACTGAACTGAGCTCTTCAGAAATATTTTGATAAAACCTCTTGTAGGTTTTGTAAACAAATGTAAAAATGATTCTTGGCCTAAAACCAAGAGTTTGTATTGCTAACAAATACTTTACATCCAGAAAGCATGTGAATTTTTGGATGAACTTCAAATATCAGAAAACTCAGATAAATTCCTTGAAGTT